AGAGAGAGAGAGAGAGAGAGAGAGAGAGAGAGAGAGAGAGAGAGAGACTGATTCGTCGACGCTTTACTTTTCTTTTAGGGTTAGATGCGCTGCTGTCAGTTTATCTTCATTTCCTCTATATCGGAAAATCGGACTTGGAGACAGGGGAAGAGAGACCACCTCCCCCTTCTCTCTCTCACACACAACAGCTCTGAAGAGAAATGCACAGGACCATACCTTCCCTTTTACTCTGCCTCCTGAAATAACGTGCAAGTGGGCCGTGAAGGCACACGGGGATGTGGGCAGCTGCCGCTCAACCACAATCAACGTGGGCAACCTTGTACGTAAGAGCGGAGCGAAAGGGGACCTGCAAGAACAATGGAAGGGGTACCCCAAGGACAACCAAAAAACTGTCTAATTATAAAATTGCTTTAATATGTTGGACTGTGACTGTCTCTGTAATAGGACAAAAACTGCTTTGATTCTGAATCTATTCATCTGGGTGGAATTGGGGCTGTTGTGGGGAAAATCTATAACACACACACACACACACACACACAGACACACACACACACACACACAGCGAAACAGTCTGGCACAGTCATGCTTTTTTTGAGTGTATACACTGTATAGCGAATATGACAACAAACACACCCAGCACATTTGTTGACTGGAAGCGTTCATTGCCTTCATGAAGGATGAGAAAGAGCTGCTGGAGGACAACTGCTGCGCAATCCATAGGAAACCTTGTCTGTTTCGTCGTGAAGACAACTATTTTTTCCAGTTGTCCAACTATCAGGTGTGTTGCATTTTCTTCCTCCTTTCCCTCTTTGTTTTTCACTCAGCAAGATCGGGTGTAAGGCTCTGGTGCACTATCGGGTTGGAAATTTGAGCTCGCTGTCTCTTCACGGTGACTTGTGGAGGAGGTGTTGTGAAATGGTGGAGAGTGAGGTACAGTGCTCTTGAACTTCCTTTTTAGTATCTAAATTTGAAGACTTTGTTTAAACTTTAAACCTCGTTTGTCATTGCTATTGTGTTGTGTTCTTTATGGACGGTTTTTCATCCAGTGTTGGTTTGAAGGGGGCCTGTGTGGGTCCGTGTGTGACAGTTCTAAGGTGGTACCTTACCCATGTACATAGAGGGGATGGAAGAGATATAGAGGGGGGAGAGGGGGGGGGGGGGGGGGGGGGGGGGGGGAGAGAGAGAGAGAGAGAGAGAGAGAGAGAGAGAGAGAGTGAGAGAGAGAGAGAGAAAGAGAGCTGTGTCTGTGGTTTGCTTGGTCATTATTGTTTTGTTTTTCTCTTTGGGAGGACAAATGTTATGTGCATGGGCATGTCTTGGTGGAGGGGAGGGGGAGAGAGAGAGAGAGAGCTGTGTCTGTGGTTTGCTTGGTCGTTATTGTTTTGTTTTTCTCTTTGGCAGGAGAAATG